CTTTGCTGTTTGGATGAAATGCGCTTTGTGCTGTCCTTAAATTAGACACTCATCATGCATAATTTGGCCCTAACATAGGACAGCTGCTGGCTTTTACAAGGCTTTCAACCCAGAGCTGAGTGCACCCATTGTTGGTCTTACTGTGAGCATTACTTAATCAATTCTGTGATATATGCATCATTTGATTTGATGATAAAACATAGACAAGAATTATCTGGAGAAAAGCATAGTATCTTTATCTTCACCTAGAAAAATTAACTCTGAAGTAATTATATTAAAAGGCATTAGGCTATTATACCTGGAAAGTATTTTTTAATTAAAATTCACTTTAATATTAAATATTATTCTGTGACTGTTTATGAAAAAGAAGAGAGCGAATGTCTCATCAGTTTGTTCAAAGAGGCAACTGACCAGGATGGGTCTCCTGGATAAATCAAGAATCAGGAAGTCATGAATTTAACTTTAAAACTTTCCTAACACACTTACTCCCTTCTTCTGCCATCTGTAAAATTGGGGGGGGGGATCCTCAACAAGCATTTACATGAAGACTTTGAGATGGAAATTGTTACCACAGATAAGCAAAATGTGATCCTCAGAGTACAGTTCTAAATTTAAACACCAAAACAATTAGTATCTGCTACTAATTGAACACCATGTAGTAGATTCTGTTAGCGATGGTTTATATATTTGAAAAGTGGGAACACTTAGGAGACAGCAAATGCAATCACTGCAAGCATTAGTCCGCCACCTTTTATTTTTTGAGTGTGTGTATTTCTCACTTCTAATTGGAATCATTGTTTTACAAATAAGATGACTGAGGAATGGAGAAACCTACAAAATCACAGTGAGTTAGATAAGGATATACTGCGGCAGTTCCTCAGTTTATAAATTTTACTCTTAATCCCACCCAGCTAAACAAAGAGGTAGAAACTTAAATCATATCTTAGATGATAAAGGGCAAGAAAAGCTGTGTCATGAGCACAATTAACATTTCTCAAATTATAAAGTAAAATTTGGCTAAGGGGATGTATTCAAATTTTCACTGCCAGTGTGCGCTAACTGCACATTTAACAGTTAAATTGGATTTCATGGATTTATCATTTATTCTACATGCCATTTATGACATTGGAGCTATGTGTTTAGGAGTGATGTACTTTGAAGAACTATTTTGGGAGTTAAGCAATTATCTACTTCTTCTATATACACAATTGTACATATGTGTGCATATGTATACACACACACACAAGCACAAGAGACAGAGTTCATTAAACAGAGTTCTTTTATAAATAGCGTTCGACTGAATCCAACTACTTGTTCTGCACATAGCTGATTTAATTCAACTAGTTTTGTCAAGTTAATTTGATTATGTAGACTCACTTTATATTCAAGATCTTTGATTTATTTACTCTGTTTCATAAGCAGAATCTTGTAAAATTAAATAAGAAACAATCAAAGGATTCTCTACATTTAGTCTCTATATCTAGGAAAAAAACATGATTCATCATTTAAAAAAACTAATTTTTTTCTTTTCTTTTTTTTACTGAAGTATAGTCAGTTACAATGTGTCAATTTCTGGTGTACAGCACAATGTCCCAATCATGCATATATATACATAGATTTGCTTTCATATTCTTTTCATTAAAGGTTATTACAAGATATTGACTATAGTTCCCTATCCTATACAGAAGAAATTTGTTTTTTATCTATTTTTATACATAGTGGTTAACCTTTGAAAATCTCAAACTCCCAAATTTATCACTTTCCATCCCCTTTCCCCTGGTAACCATAAAATTGTTTACTATGTCATTTTTTAAAGAATGACCCAGAAAAGTCAGTCTAGGACCATAGGTTTTAGTCTTTCTATAAGCATCAACTTTATAGATAATTTCTTTGTAACTTATTTCATTTGTAGAATTGTAGGAGTCTTCATATAAAAATATATAGAGAAAAATTTCCCATCAAGAATCCTCATCTGAATCTAAATGACATCAGAAATTTTAGTTTACAAGGAGTTTCTAAATGCACATAAATGATGGGTATAAGATAGCCTCCACTGAAGTATATGGACTTTAAAAAAAAAAAACCCTTTCAGTAAATCTTCAAAAAGAAACAAAAGAAAATCATATTAACAAATGTTTTTAAAGACTCTCAGACATAGTTTTTTCATACTTTCCAGTGATATATTGAGACAGAAGGAAGGATGGAAGCAAGGAAGGAGAAAGAGAAGGAGAAAGAGAGAAAAAAAAGAAAGAAGAAAGAAAAAAAAGAAACGAAAGAGAGAGAGAGAGAAATGATTTACGCTTCTACCATGAAAATAATGCAGTGAGGTCACACTGACTACTGAGGGTGGAGGCTGACACTTTATGCTAACATAATGATACTCAATGTTCTTTCTGTCATTTCTTAGAGATGTTTTGGCATTTAACATTGATATCTTTTGAGGCATTTCCTAAAGGATATTGTAATTGTCATAGGGTAAGTGCAATTTTACTATTCAGGCTACTTTGTCTTTTTTTTCCCCCCTTAAACTAAAAGCTATATTCTCCTTTAGAAATTGTTTTGTTCTCTAGTCTAAAAGGAAAAGAAAAAGGAAGTCAATGTTGAGATGAGTTAACTGTAGTGTGTGGAGACTGGGAAAATGTAGTAATTGTATAATTTTATGTTGGTAGTGATGTATGTGGGTGCTGCTGCAGAGTCTGTTTAAAAAGCTGAGTTGGATGACCTAAAAAGAATGGAAAGCATCTATCCAAAGTCACTGAAGAATTTGAAGAATCCATCAAAGAGTCTGCAATGAAGAAATTCACAGGAAAAAAGGAAATCTGTCCCACATTATGTAAATGAAACATATGTAAACTGTGTCTACATGGGGATGTATTTTCAACTCTCTTCCATTTTGCTATGACACACTTCAAGGTTTTGTCCCAGGGAACCACAAAGGAAAAAAATCACTTAAGTACACAAACAAACACGTATGTTCAGAGGGGAAGAGCTTTTAGCATCTGCATCAATCAATCCATCTTAGGAGATGTTTCAATCAGTAAGTTATAGACGGGCGATCAGGAAGGAGTAACCACCAGGAAAGTTGAGAGCAGAAGCAGTGAGTCTATTAGGGTCATGTTCATGAGTTCTACTCAAGATTCATATGAATAGTTATTTTTCAAAAAATGAGGTGAGCCACTGTCTGCTTTTCAACTAAGAACTGAAAACTCGTTTACCCACTCATTCAAAAAATATTATTGAATACCTTCTGTATGCCAGACATCACTGCACATGCTAGAAGGGAAAAACCAATAATTGACTTGGGTTTTCTCAAATTGATGTGTCTTATGAAGGTAAATGAAGGAGAGAACTGCAAATAATGGCAAGTGTTATGAATTGAATGTGTCTCCCCAAAATTCGTAACTGAAACCCTAGTCCCCACTGTGATGGTACTTGGAAGTGGGGCCTTTGGGAGGTACTTAAGATTAGATGAGGCTGTGAGGGAAGACCCTCATGAGGGGATGAGTGTCCTTATAAGAACAGACGAGACAGCTTGCACACTCTGTCCCCTGTGTGACAAGATGGCAGCGAGGAAGAGGGCCCTGACCGAGAATCTGGCCACACTGACACCCTGTGCTCAAGAACTTCCAGAATCCAGAACTGTGAGAAATAAAGGTCTGTCACCCAGTCTCTGGCCTTTTGTTATAGCAGCCCAAGCAGACTAAGAAAACAAGAGCGGGTACTTTCAGGAGAGGAAGCGGGGTTGGATTTCAATAATAAGAGGTACTACCTAGAGATGACCATCAAGGCCTTTATATTTGGACAGTTTACCTTCACCGTCACTGATTTACACCAAAGCAGACCAATAAGCTAGACAGGGCTAAACCAGCGTGGTTCATGTGTCTCCCAATAGTCAAAAGGTCTGGTGGAGAGAGTCAGGCTCTCCTGTGCCCTCCTCCTGGCTTAGCCACCGTGCAGGTAACATGTGGCTTGAACTTTTCAACCTTTCTGAGCCGTGGGAATCTCCTTTGTACAGCAAGGGATCAAAACTTTTCTGGATCCTCTCTATTACTATTTTGAAACCTGCAGGCACCCCAGATATGCGCCAGTATTCTGGGATAAAGACGTTTAGCTTAGCCCTACCAATGGCTCACCAAAAATCCATTTCTGCTCCTAGAGAAAATAACTCACAACATGTTCTACCATGCCTGAATTAGTAGCATCATTATTAAATACGAGACTGAGAACCCTTAGTTTTTCCTGTAGATGTGATTTAAAACCCAATTTGCTAGGCTGCACTTTGTTTCTAAGTTACTTGCTTTTTTTTTAACTTAATTTTAAAAATAGCTTGTTTTAGATTACATCCTCTGCTCTAAATATGAGTGGATATATTTTTTAAAACACAGTGTTCTGATGTACATTTATTTTTTTCAAAACGGATGTTAAATCTTAAACTCCAATCAAAAGAGTAAAATTTTCCCTTTACTCCAAGATTAACACAGGGCAGCCATTCCATGGTCCAAGTCTTCAAATATTTGCTTGGCTTAGGAAGACCTTTCTCAATTATCTGTCATCCCTGCTTGGATTCTGATAGATGTATGAGATCAGACTCATTCTGAGCCAAACCAAGCTTTTTAACTTGTCAAATGTGTTCTTCGTGGAAATGGGATTGTGGTGCAGGGAGAATTCAATGACACTCTTCAGATGAATGGCACATATAATAATACTTATCGTAAAAATATAATTATATCAATATGATATACATTTCGAGGTATATGATTGCAGACACTGGAGTCTGAGCAAGAAAACTGAGAGACATTTTCCCTGAATGTAAGCATATTTACATGCCCTTCTTTTAAAACATCCCTCGGCTTTATCCTTCTAAAGCTTTCGCCTGGTTCTGCTTGCTTTCCTCTGAGATGACGTCCCTGGAGTCTGCAAACCCTGGTCATGTCTTCCAGTGCTGCAAAGTCTGTAAGGATTCAGAGTTCAGTTATCTTTGGGAGGAATAAATATAGAACCAGAAGAACTTGTCTGCAACAAAGACCTTATTTAGGGATCATGAAAACTACCTAATGGATGTTATTAGCATTTGGGTTTCAAAGCCGAACGCTTTTTAAGTGCTTGCTTTCAAATTTTCTCCCTCCTCATAGTTGGAGCACTTTGTTAGCGCTTGGCTTCTTTCCCAAATAGTATCATTTGTATAATGGAATCTTATAAACACACAGAGAAATCTGAAGATCACTCAGTTGAAGGAAGAATCCTTTCTCTTGGTACCCTCGGAATTTTAGACTGGGCTCATTAGCGCCCAAACCTAATATAAACCTATCAGAGCACTCTCTCTTCTTAGTGAGTTAAAGAGGGGTTTTAAAAGATCATTATTTTTGTGTTTTGTCTCCCTTCCACGAGTTTGAAAATGCAGCTCTCTGCTCCAACACCTTCCTTACAAATGATGTTTTCTCGTAAGGAACAACTCTCACCCCTGCGGTTACTCTTTTTCTTGATTCCCACTTTCTTGTTTTCCTGGCATGCCTCAGGTTTCTTTCAAGCATCATTCCTTTTATTTCCAACCATATTTTGTTGGTTCGTGGGGCTCATTAAGTCCTTGCCTGTGTTGGCTTTCTCCAACCAGCGCTTTCCCTCAGCTCTTGGTCTGCGCATCCCCCCTGGACCACGAACCACCACCCGGCTCCTTCTCTATCTCGCCTGCTCCACATTCTCCCTTCCCACGACTCCACTCTCAAGTTTACTGCCAGCCTGGAACTTTTTGAGTAACTTTGCAAAGCTCCTGGGTTCCATCTCTCTCTCTGTCTCACTCCTCCATAAGGGGCAGTCGGAACCGAGCCAGCTTGCATCTCCTGGAGTTGAGGTGGGCGGCAAAAAGCCCTCCGTTTCGCCTGCTGGAAGACTCCCGCTTCCTCGCGGTGGAGACATCGTGCTCTTCGGGAGAGACTGTAGTGGGGCTGTCACTCTCCGCCGGGTTCAGAGGGTTTTTTGTTTTTTTTTTATTGTCCCTGTCAGTTAGCAGCCCAAGGTTACTGCCAGCTCTCTGTCAGGGCTTTGATTTTTGTCAGCTATGGCCAGGTCCTTTTAGTTATCTGCTATCTTTTCAGCTTTGTTCAGGCTGAGCTCTACTTGTCTACTAATTAGCTCTTTGGAGATTTCCCTTTAAAAACTCACTATCACAGAGGACAGGAACCGTTCAAAAGTTTTGTGCTTCATAGAAATTCCATATTCATCCATATCTCGTACAGCCATATTTTTAAAATTAAAAGTGGCAGGTTAGGCCAATTTACGGTATAGAAGTAACATCTTCTATAAAGGGAGACCTTCAGGTTCTTGGTCAGGTATGGAGATGAGTGACAGAGAAAGGAAAGGGTTTACATCAAAAAAAAAAAAAAAAAAACACTGAGAGGGTACAAATTAAAAAGAAACTATCACTCTGTATAACATATTCACATTTTCTTTATCTTCTGGTGTGCAAATATTGTGCTAGCTGAATATAAAAGTAGCACAACTTTAGGGTACAAAAAAAAAACACACTGTAATAACATCAAGAGTGGTCTTACATCAAGGAGGGCCCTGAGGATGTCTTTGTTGTCAACTTCAGAAGAAAAGAGAGGAACAGAAGAGGAAGCTGGCAGAAGGAATAGATGCCAAAGAGAACTCAAAGGATTAGGTCCGGGTGAGGTGATCGGTATTCGAAAACAGTCTGCCTTCTGGCTCTGATCTAAGGGAATAGGCTGGCAGCCAAGCCAGAGGGCATAGCAGCACAAACACACCTTCAGCACACTGCTTGAGGGGTGCCTCGGTGCCTTAGAAATTGCAATGGCAATTAGAGAGGAGGCTCTGTAAGAGCAATAGGCAAAATACTCTATTTACAGAGAAAGCTCCGCTCTTTGCATAATTCCTAACCTGGTTGTCCCCTCCATACAAACATACCTTTACTTTTTTTTTTTCTTTTTCTTTCTTTCTTTTTTTTCTTTTCCTTTTTTTTTCTTTTTTTTTTTTTGTGGCCCTCTCCTTTCTTTTGCTAGGCTCCCAAGCACATTTTTCCTTCTGCTAACTTCATGCTGTGGTTAAGTTGCGCTTACACTGCATTTACACACTGTTAATGCCTGCAAGATGAAAGTAAAAACCTTTGAATATATTAATGCTATAACACAGATGTCTTACTTTTTACTCTCTCTCTCCCTCTTTTTTTTTTTTTAAGCAAGTTGATGTGGCTAATAATGATGCAGATTGTGCTGGATGGATGTGCAGATGAAACAGGGGAATATAGATTAAATAAAAATTTCTTCAAAGCTTACGTTTGCTTCATAATTTAACTTCTGGGCTTGTCTCAGTGGTAGTAGGTGTGACCAGGCATCATAACATTGTTCTGAAACATCTTGGCATCACAGAGCAGAAATCACCCGAACAGCACGGCTGTACTTCTTCGCAGCCAGAGGAAAATAATAAGGGAAAATAAAGGTTGTCAGCAGCTCTGTACAGAGAGGCCTAACCCAGCTGCTAATAACGGGGGAGCTGAGGGAAGTCAGGGACAGCGGTTCTGTGCTTAAGAAGTAATCTGCTTGTATACTGAACTTGGCTTTTTGCAGCTACATTCAAAGCATGAGTTGCTTCTTCTTCCAGAATATTGAATGAGATGTGCACCAGCCGTGGTCACATACTCACCCTGGAAACATCCATGGAATGACTTTGTCATTGAGCTCTTTTAAACAATGAATAAAGTGGGTGTTGATGGCATATGGCCTTGGAGTAGGCACAGTCCATTTCTCTTTCACATCTGTTCATTCTAGCAGCATTTGCTAGCATGCCACTCCATGCCAGGGAACTCACTAGGTCCCGAGGATAAAAGATCAGGTGAGATACACCCCCTTCCCTCAAGGAACTCATAGTTTAGTGGAGAGGACACATGCAAGCAGAAAACCTAGAATATCATCTTTACATGAAATAAAGAAGTGCCATGGCTTCTCCCAGGAAGGACTAGCACTGCCTGCCAGGCCAAATGGGGCAAGACTGCATCTGAGGTCTGCATCTCTAATGTGTGAGGGGAAGTTTACCAGCTGGACGAAGGTGATTAAGAAGGGTGTGTGGACGCCTGGAGTCAGGGATGAGCAGAGCGTTGGGGATGGTAAGGACGTCAGCATGGAGGAAGCTTAGGCTGTATGGGGGGATGGGGGGGACAGGGGACAGAATGATGGACAATAAGACTAGGAAGTAGGTTTGAAGTAGACGCTACAAGCCCTCCTATGCTAAGCTAAGGCATTTGGAATTTACCCTACAGGCAACAGAAAGCTAATGGAGAAAGCTTGCAGCAAAGGACAGATGACACGATCTGACGTCCTTTTTATGACAACTCTGAGAGCTATAAGGAAGGGACACTGGCCCTTCTAGAAGAGACGGGTGCAAGGAGAAGATTTAGGACGCGGGCGGTTCTCCAGGTTGTGATGACAATAGTCAGCTGAAGAAACGAGGCTGGATTCAAGAGACACTGTGGGGGGACTTAGATGAGCAGAACTGAGCTTCGGTTAAACATTGCTGCCAATGACCATGACCCCCTCATTCCCCCGCCCCTCTAGGACTCACAGTCATCTTACAGTTCCAAGGTAACTTGCCAGGAAGCTCAGGCTCCTTTCCAGGTAAAAAGTGCTCAGTTCATTAGGGTCTAATAAGATACACAAAAGAAAGCTCATTCGTCTTCCTTCTTACACCGTGAGATTTGGGAGCGCAGACAGCAGCTGTGCTTTATCCACTCTTACCTCTCAGGGCATCTAAATACAGCATTGAAGAGAACGTATACTTTATGATGTTTTCCTGAATGAATGAATCAAAGTGAGTGACAAAAATGGCCCCCCAGTGCTGGATTGTAAAAAATGTTTAAAATAGTTGCTGGATTTTAAAATTCATTTTTATTTTTATCTATTTTTTTTTTTTTTGAGAGAGGAGAAGCAACTGGTTTAGAGTGACTGTCCAAGCCTGTGCTTTTCAGAGGTGGTGAGCTTCTGATGCTCTAAGAAAAGAGATCCATTGCCTTCTGCTGACGTTACTAAAGAAGCACTAGGTAAGCAAGCTAACAGAGACAGTTGGATAGGCTGGGCACTGCACCGAGACACCCTGCTGAGGGACAACTGGTGCCTGAAATCTAGAGGTTGTGTTCAACTTGAGGGGGGCTCTTCTTAACCACACCTAAGAGCTGGATGGGAGAATGGGATCCTGGACTTAAAGTGAAAGGACTAGAATTAATGGAAAAGTATACTGCTGGTACCAGTTTCACAGACAATGCCCCAAACATACCTACCTGTCTGCATCCTGTCCTTTCAAATTATCTTCCCCTTATTTTTTCTCAGTGGTTTTTGAACTTCGTATCAGCCCTGATATTTAGACTTTCTCTCTCACACTTAACTTGGCTGGTACAGCTTTAAAGGGATCTGAAAGGGAACAGGCGCACACAGGGTCTTTAAACACAATTGACACAGCCATCTGTCAGGCGCAGAGGCTGTCTGGGAGAGATGTGCTCCATGCTCATCTGGCCAACTGGTCGACTGCAGGACCCTAATCATTACATTATCGAAACCAGAGCATCGTCCAGTGCATGAAACTTCAGACATTACTTATGGATGAAATGAGGTCAGAAGAGGTCAGAAAAGACAAGAGATTAGCTGGCCATGCCAGCTGTCCAAGCTGCCCTTGAGAGATGCAACTCACAGCATCAGAGCTGGGGCTGCAGCTTCTCTTGGAGAAGAGATTCTGTCCACCAGACTCACTGCTGCTGTGGTGTTGCAACCCTGGGGTGAGTCTCCCGGGCAAAGCAACTCTCCTGAAGAAGGATGCGGGAAAAGCAAGCAAACACAGCTTTTGAAATATGGAAAGCATTAACCGCATGTTTGCGCTCTTCCTGTGAACTTTACTGCCAGGCTGGGAACTCCTTGAGAGCAGCTATTAGCACTGCGCTTAGTCCTTAAGCAACTCTGAATGGAGGCATGCGTGCGAGCATGAATGAGTGGATGCAGCCTGATGACTGCTAATTCATACATCCTGGTGTGGAGGGTTGAGGAGACAGCTTCTTAAGAACAGGTTATTAGAAGAAAAAGCATTTTAAGTCTATTTCCTTGGTTGTACAGTCAAATAAAAAAGTCTACTCCTGTGAGTGATAATTCACTTTCATTTGCCTAATTTTCTGGGGTAGGAATATGATGTCAGAGGTTCACCTGGAGAATTATAACAAGATTTACTCTATTTTTTTAAGTTGGATAATTAACATTTATTAGCATGGTGGATACTTAAGAGATGCTGGAGATACACTGAAAACAAAACGAAACAAACAAATAGAAAAACAAAATCCAACGTCTCATTTCAAGTACCTTGGAGTTAAGTTTGGATAAATTCACAAACAAACAGGCTATATAATTCAGTGTATTTTTTTAAATCTATTTTTATATATAGTGGCTAATATTTGAGGATTTACTCCATCTTAACAAATAAGAAACCACAAACAAAACTTAAAACCAAATCATTTCTTTCTTTTATTCATGGCCTCTTTCCTAGGGTGAGAAATATTAGGAAAGGAAATAGATTTAGATACTCAAATTTATCATTCATAAAATTTCTATTTTCTTGCCCAAGACAATCGCATATTAAATGGAGAATTGGCCACCTCATTAAGTGTTGCAAAGCCCCCTTTTAATCTCACCTGAATGCTGTCTCAGTTAGAGCTGACACTTAGAAAGAAATACAAATATAATACACACATTCTGTGTGAAAAATATTCATTAATATTAACCTCAAGGAGCTAAGGGTTAAAAAGAGCAGAGTTTCCATTTCCAAGTGTAAAACATCAGTCCAATTTTGAGTCAAGGCTGTAAAAACATGTCTAGAGCTTTTTACTGCAAACATAGTGAGATCAAGAATTTTTCCTTCTGAAGCGGCAAAAAAAAAAAAAAAAAAAAAAGCATTTCTAAACTGCAAGCCCTTCCAGCAAATTGCTCAATGCTGAATGCAACTTCCTCCTGTTGCATTTTATGTCAGTGCTATTCTCTTCACAGATGAAAGTTTCATTTGGGGAAAAAAAAAGATACAGGAATATGTAGTGTGGAAGTGATGGCTGGGAGGAAGGAATAGCAATAGTTGATGTGGTCTGGGAATTCTCCTCTGTGTCACCATCTTCCCCCTCCTGTGAGTGTAGCAAAATAATTGGCCAACATAATTAAATATGAATCCACATAACTTCAGACTCTGAACGTGGAATCCGTCCTTTGGTAGGCTGACAGGGGTGCTTCACCCAGCCCTGTATTCCAAAAGCAAAGTGGAAAACCTGTACTTTCTTTGATTTGTGAAAAGACACATCTGCTGTAAATAAGAAACACATACTTGACATTTCCTTAGTAAGACATCTGAAATCTTAGAATGTATTGACCCCAAATGCGGTGGGAACACTATAATACACTCTAGTCCTTCAGCCCCAGTTTTCCCCACCAGCATTCCTATGTTTGTAAAAGGGAGAAGCTTTCAGTTTATTTGGGAGATGATGGTATCATAGAACTAAAATAAAAGGAACGAACAAACAAAAAAAACATAATATAATAGTGATCAGCAGTTGGAAAATGAATCGATAATATTTACTGAAGACCTGTGGTGGGCAGAGGTCTTTACAGGCTACCATTTTATTTACCGTGTAAATAAAATGGCAAATAAAGTTCCTTTTCTCAAAAGGCCAACAGTCAAATGCAAAAGACGTCGATAAACAAATGCATGTGAGTCTTGAAAAATCAGAGCAAGTAGAACCAATTACAAGCAAATACACACAAGTTTATGTAAAGGCCCCTCCCTGGCAGGCTGATTTCCTATGAGATGGCCTCAGAAGTTGCACTGCCAGGCACAGAAACACAGCTGGATGACAGTCCTGCCCACAGGACAAACTTGGTCATTTTCTGTCAAAGCATTTATTTATTGTGAGATAAGGTATAGTTACATGGTTTGAGTATGTGATGAAGATTTAATCAAATTAATCCAATAACTGATTTACACACTCTTTTGTTGATTTTTTTCAATAGACCATGGATTTTTCTTTAGCTAAAAAGAAAAGGAGATCACTTGCAGGCTTTTAATTTGCAATATTTAAATAATGTGCCGGAAAGATGAGTTTTTTTTAGGTTAATTGGAGGGAAATGTGCCGCATCGTGATGCTAATGCAGGGGTTTTAAATTTACAAGGCGAGGAATAAAAAAGTATTTTTTTAGCTTCTTTCTAAAATTGAAGTATAGGCAGTTTACAATGTCGTGTCAATTTCTGGTGTACAGCATAATGTTTCCGTCACACATACACATACATATATGCTTTTTCATATTCTTTTTCATTCTATGTTACTACAAGATATTGAGTATCATTCCCTGTGCTATACAGTAGAAACTTGTTGTTTATCTATTTTATAGATAGTAGTTAGTATCTGCAAATCTTGAAAGCATTTTAACAGATTTTCCCCTCTCACATTAAGAATCACTAACAGACCGACAAACATGCCCTGTAATTACAGCTATTAGAATAAAATCTCTTAAATATTTTTTTAAAAATTACTAACAGAGACTATCATTTTAATTTTATTAACATCTAAACATTTAGCATTTTAGTAGGATAGAGAAAGAAGAGCCTGGTTCTAAGAAATAATTTCTTATAGAAAATTCTAATATTTATAACCAAATCTCATAAACATGCAAAAGGAATCAGCAGAAGTCCTGCCTGAGTCCCAAAATCCTGGCAGGTATTTCTGATAAAGATTTAACCCGCAAGACAATGATGATACAGTCGTGTATGTGGTGAGATTACAGGCAGGCATATGAATACAGTAAGAAGTTACTGATCACTCTATTTGGTTAAGAAATTAGAGAGATAAGCTAATTGTTAACAGGATTCACACTAACTGAGTAACTATTCTTACAGCTATGTAAGTGAATAATCAAACGAGTTACAATTGTGACATCTATGACTTACTGCTTATTTCGAGAAGTGCTGTGATTAGATTTAAGTATTAAAAGCATTATTTGAACTCCATTTCTTCCATAAATGACCTGATTTTTAGAATCTTCTTTACTATTTTGACATGCAATCTATGGGGACATTATAAGAAATAGTATTCACCTAGAAGAATGAAAACCAAAGAATTAAACC